GCAAGCCGATCGACTTTAATAATGAACTAACGGCCACTAGCCCTGAACATCGGGTAACCATTGAAAACATCAATTTTGAGTTCGCTATTGAAAACCGAACTTTGGAAACTTTCTGTTATGAAGAGCTAATTTGCCGCTTCCGATTTCTAGCTGGTGTATTAAAAAGAAATGGAAGGTTTCTTGTGACGTAATCTTATTTGGGTAGTTGTACAAAAATCTAAAATTTATATCTCGTCAGTTTTGGCCTTTAAACTTTACGATTAAATATATTGCAGTATAAAGTAGAGATTAACCTGAACAGTTTATGGTTTTAAGCTACTAGACTTTTGAACATTATTCAACGCATTCAAAAATGGTTAGGTTAGGTTAGAATTCAACAGAAATTCTGAGTACCACCGAAACGATGAAACTGGAAATGGTAACTTATGTGTTAACAATATATTTTATTTGTGCAAAATTAACTTGCGATTTATAATCTGTGGATTACACTACGAAACGCGAGCGACCATGACGGATAATTAATAGTATGCCGATACATTTTAATAAATGTTCGCATTGTCAAGTGACTAATTATTTTCCCGGAATACTTAGTAAAAATATGATTTTGTTTTAAATATAAATTATTTTTTGGAAAAAATATAACTGGCACTTGGTGGCAGTGATTTAACATTACAAATTAAAATTAAAAATTTGCTTAACCCAAAACAGTCAAATATACAATTGCTGGTTTGTAGGTAGTCTGTTTAACACATAAACTTTACTATTATAGGGGGCGCTAGTAAACAATAAAACATACACTAGGAACTACTTTGTATTACCACCAAAGTGGTTCAAAAACGCGACCATCGGCAATCTATAAGACTAACAATTATATAATATAATAGAAATAAATTTACTACCGCGATGCCAAATCACACAACGTCATCTATTGATGGACGTGAGAACTTTTACATCCTTATAAGAAAATAATAAATTTGAACAATCTACTATATCAAAAATTGTATGAGAACTATTGATACCTTTTCAAAATGTCCACCTTTAATTAGAAAGTCCCAAAGTTTGTCGTTAGAGTAAACTTAAACTATCCGAATTGCTCACACGCGTGTAGATACGGAAACAAACCGCGAGCAAGATAAAATACTTGGGGCCGACTTTCGGGAACTGATTTCGTTCTAAGACGTTGTTTCTTAATTACAAATTCTTGTGTAATGGACAGGATACTGTTACTTAATAAGGGCCTTTGCACATGACGGAGTTCGGCTTGTAGGAGTAACGATGAAAGGATTTAGTTTAATCATTAAAACTTTAGGGTCTATTGGTGTATATGTACTTTTAATGTTTTTCTAAGGGCTGCATACCTACAGACTGTCTACGAGATCTTATTAATAAATCTTCGTTGTTTACCTGTTTGTATTATAGCTGTATCTTTTGATACACTTGAGATTTTCATAGAATTCTTATTCCTGTGATCACTGTTATAAAAGTATATAAATAATAATTACAGTAAACTGAAGCTTGGTAAATGTATTAACTTGAGTTTTGTAAGGCATGTGAAGCCGTTGGTCCCTGCTGCTGCTGCAACGCTGCTGTGTATCAGTAGAAGGATTTTTTGTACCCCACAACTTTGTTACCCTAAATATTTAAGTATTCAAAACGTAGATCAATTCTGTGTTCACTTGAGTAGTAAAATTACGTGCCACGTAATTTTACTATAACTTTACTATACGTTTTACTATAATATGAATTGAAAGCTAAATAAATTAATATGTATCCTAGCCCAGGGCTGCCAGCCAATTTATGGATATCATGTTATAAAGTTACTCGTAAATGACTATTCATCTTTCTTTATTTCTGATGTCTGATTTTTAATAGTATATTGTTAAAAAATAACAATTACTACTCTCAGACACTCCTCATCAGCGGCAACTGCTTATTATGAATCAGTGGTCTAAATATTTTATAACCTGTCACAAGCACTCTGAATTTCACAGTTGAAAGATATTGAAGAACTTCACGTTTTATTTGACGTTAATCGGAATTGTCTAAGCGATTGCGACTTTAAAAGTTACACTATTCTATAAATCAGTATTACAACCGCTACACTTTTGAAAGGGATTATAGATAACTAAATCCTTTTTAAATCATTATTAATACTCTAAAAACACCAACTAATATTGGTTATGGAGCTATTATTTTATATTATATGAATTTAGTGTGTAAACATACTTAGCAACTCAGGCCACAAGTTTGAGGTTACAGATTAGTGAAATCATCAATACGAAATCCCAAAGGGTGTGTTGCTGGTAGATCACTGCCCTCAGATCTATTTTCTATTTTGGTAGTAGTTTTGAGAGTTTTCTATAACTTTAATGAATGAATATTAAACAATATCACATATAATCTTCAGAACCCAAATGAGGTTTTATGTATCTAAAATATTTGTATTATAGAAATATGAAGTAAGCAAGTTATCTATACCCAGACTAAAGAAAAGTTAATTTTCTACCTGGGACCTTATCTATCGCAATTACTTTCAATTTGACATTTAAAAGATATATACAAACTTCATACTGCAATTATTTGTCATATGACAGTGTTGTTCTATTTGCGTTCGCAAATATTCTATGGAACATTCTAAGAATGCTCGTTCGCTTGCTGTAAACGGCACAAGAACGTGCAAACAGTTGCTCAGAGCGTTCTCGTGTGTTCGGATGCGCTCGCTCATCGGAGCGTTCTGTTCAAAGCGTTCTTGTGTTCAAGTGATTACTCGATGAGTAATTACTTGTTTGATCAAAACGCTGTGCCAAATTCTAGTTCTTTGTGCGAATAAGGTGTGAATACTTACTCGTTTTATAGACATTGGTTTAAACACTTGAAACGAATTTTCGCTTACACTAGAACAACAAGAAAGAACGCTAGTTCTTCTAGTTCTTTGCTAGGTGTTCTAGTTCTTTGTTCGTTTGGTTTAAATTCACCTTAAGCAAAGCGATATATACTCGAAAGCTATATTATCAAACGAGATAGTTGAATGTTAAATCCACTCTTTCGACAGGGTATTCATTTTCTTGATCATTAAAATTAATCATTTATTACAAAAGCGATAACGTATTTAAAAATTACATGATTAATTAATCGCTATACCTTAGAAATGAATTGTGGTAAGAGTAGGTCGGTTCTGTAGTGTATAAAGGCCGTGGCCAGTGATTGTTGTTGTTAAACAGCTTTCACAAGGGTTGGTCACGGCATGGGTGATCAAAAATTTACTACCGGCTAGCATGGAGAATCATGGCCTATCCTCCTTAACCTGAATTAAACAAGGAAGGTCTGAACCCACAGTGAGGACATAAAAGGGCTGATGATGACGATGATGACTCTTCTCGTGGTTCTATCCATGCATGTATATTGTTGATATATGCTCTATATCTATCTCGAGAAGCTCGTGATGGCAATTTTTCGGTCACCGTGACTGATTTTTGCGAAATTTGCTTAACAACAACAATAGCGGGTTACGGCTCTTATCCACTACGCCACCAAGCTACTGATCTGAGCGACAATATTAGGGATGTTTACGCAGGCAGGAACGAATATACTAATCATATAGGAAATTATGCAAAGACATAACTAAAAACCGCGTCAGTACCTATAGACGCTTGGCTTCTCTTGCAACCACTTTTTGCTAAATAAACCTAAATTTTGATATCTGCGCATCAAAGAACAAGGCAAAAGTTTTCTGTTGCATCTGCAGTCGTATTGATTTGTCTATTCATGCCCCAGTTTCATTTCGAAGTTATCCATCGATTAAGGTAATTAAGTATATGTTTTATTTATGAAAAAAATAAGAATTAAAAAATATTTAGCTTGGCTACTATCATTGCAGTATACAAAATTTAGATTGCAGTATATAGATGTTAGATTTGGCGAACATACATGCATAATTAGAGTACGTAATTATTAAATTAAGTTAAATAAAACCTTGTATAAAAGAAAACTAGTATTTTGTTAACGAAACAAATATTTAATCGTAAACGAGCAAGACCATTCAGAAGATTATCTAAGCTTTGGCGGGATAAGTAAGTACGAACTAATTCGAAATATCATTCGATCCCGGCCTGTCGATATTCCGGATCCCGGGGGAGAATCTAATACCTGCTAATTGACAACTAGTCTCCAATGAGATCTGTCTTGTAGTACGTCATAATGGACTATAATTTGTCGTTGGTTAAGCCATTAGAGTGGTGGGTATCAATAGCCTACTTATGAAAGCACAAACTATTTGTTTTACTTTCAAATATACAATACCATTAGGTATAAATAATTTATGTTATTTATGACTTTGTTACAAACACTGTTTCCTAATAATGTAGTGTCACTTTCGAAATTGATTTTGGGAAAAAATAAAACTAATTCCTAGTCTTAAATTTCGTCTTGTCATGCTTCGCAGTACCAGAATCTGATGTCACAGCAGTGAGTGAGGTGAGCTTTTGTACCTGGCCATCAAAGTTATAGCAACTCTTTTAGCCTGATAACCATTAAAAAGTCAACGTTCCTGACTTTCAGAGATATTTTATGTCTCATCTCAGATGAATCCCAGAATGGATAAGCGGTTCAAGTTCATGCTGGAATTGTTTTAGTGTTTCAGTCTCTTGTTTACAGTTTTGGCGAACACTAGAACTTAAACTGACATGCAACATAGAATTAGTGTTTCCCCTTTTGTAACAGTTAAATAAATAATTTGTGCATTGTCAAAGGTATTCAAATCATAATTATAAATAAAACAAGTATTGAAATAAACCAAAACTGTATTTCGAAAATAAAAATGTCTTGTATCTGAAAAGAAAATAATTCTTCATAAGGTTTTCATAACAGTTACAATAAGTTCAAACTTAACAGCAATATCATTACAATGCAAAGCCACAAAAGCTATTACATACTCGTAGCTGTATGCTTCTCAGGAATTAGTTATCAACGTTTATCTTGTGCTCTTACCTATTGAAGTATGTCTAATTATCGATATCTACAAAGGTTCCGCAGAAAATAATGTCTCGCTTTCTTAATATATAATAGGCGAAAGGATGGTCCGCGTTGAAGAGGTAGATGGGGCGAGTTGGACCAACAGAAGTTATTGTTGAACCAATAAATACTGAAAACATTTTTCTTTTTATATTTTTTGAAATTGGAATTAGTTGTGATCTTATTTTGTAAACATAAAGGTAAATAAGCTGTCTTGGAAAACAAAAAATATTCACGCTCGTCGACTACGTTTGAAATGGTATTTCTGGATCAAATTAAGATTAGGACCAAAATTGTGAACCATAAACAGGTAGAAAGGAAATTGAGTGGCCCAGAAAAGGAGAAATATATTTTTTTAGATACCTTTTTTCTTAAATGTATAAATAAAAGGATAAGGCTGTGTATACAAATAAAATTTGACAGGAAAGAAATATTTATGATTTTTTTTATTGATTGTAATTATTGTAATAAAGGTTCTTGAATGTAATCAAATTTACCATAAATATAGGTAGTCTTATATTTTCACCATTTTTAGTTTACAAATGTGCCACAGAAAATCGGTATATTCTTGTAAAATATGTAGAAAACGAAGCCATGATTTGCATTAAAGATATAAACAGGACGTGGTGGGTATATTGCTGAATAAGTTTGTATGACCAGTAATGAAAAATTATGAGTAAAATTTAATAATCGTTTGAAACTTTTCACACAAAATTTTATAAACGTATTCTCTTTTATTAATTGAAATTTCAGGAACCACATTACCTTACAAATGAAACTAATAGAAATTAATTTATCATATGCTTTTACGCTCATTACCTCTATAATGGTCGGTTTAAAGATCTTAATTTTTCTATAAGACAATCGTCAGTTACACAAGAATGCTATATACATTATCTATCGATCCGAAGTAGATAGTCAAATAAATAATAACCACAGCATACTACACATAAAAGATTACGTCCTTCTTAATGAATTGGTGGTGGTCTAAGTTATAATTAATAATTGAAAATTTTAGTTTACCTACAGATTTTGGTAGCAATTTTACATTTTGATTAAAACCCTCTTTAAAACTCTTTTCTTATATTGGAATATTATCCTATTATATGCTAAAATGCTTACTGTTTGCAGCCGCTGCTTCAGTGCCTGTTTCATCAACCTGCACAAAGGCTTTTTGTTTCGCAGCAGAAATATAGAGAGGTTCATATTTTTCCAAGATATTTTGCAGGTTGGATTTATAGCGATCAAATAAATCTGTGACGCCAGCCTGTAACATAATGTTTGGATCCTATTAATAAAAATGATTTTTTGTCTTTAATGTCTACACTGACTCAGTATTGCAACAATAAATGCAAAATAAATATATTTAAATATAACTATACTAGTGACTGCCAGCGGCTTCGTCCGCATTTTCCATTATTTCCTCGCTCCTAATAGTTGCAGCGTGATGTTATATAAAGCCTAATTTTTCAATTCGAACCAGTAGTTCCTGAGATTAGCGCGTTCAAACAAACGAACAAACAAACTCTTCAGCTTTATAATATTAGTATAGATATAGCATCATATTCACCTTTAGATTAATATGAAGTTATATTTGTTCTTAGTTATTTATGTATTAGACTACAATCAATATTATCGTCCCATTTCGATAGATTTAAGCTCGTTTTAAAATCAGTTTTGTAAGTGCTTTACTTAGTATTCCGAGAGCTAAACTATTCGAGATTGAGATAAATAGCCAAATATACTTGTTTTTAAATTATGCATAAGAAGTGATTGTAATTCAAGGTGTGTCTTTACTAACCACGACTGCACGTGTATTTTTAGAATGGCGAAATTAGTTCAGGTGTTTACACATACGATTTTCATACAAAATGAATAAAATATTTTACTTAGATATATAACATATAACTGTAAAACTATCATATTTAGCAACTGCTACCCAGAGTTAAACCAAGGTCCAAAATTGATGAGGATACTCCGAGGTAAAAGTTAGTTCTTAAAGTTTGCGAGCTTTTTCGTCGCTTGTACATTTTTGTATTGTGTGAGTGGGTGACAATTATCTCGCTGATACTAATTGTATCATCATCATCGACTTTTAACTTCACCATTTCTGGTGTATAGAAGCCTATGGATGTAAATATGAGGAATGTGACTGCAGATACAGCTGGAGCCAACGGCTTATCGTGCTTTCCAAAGCAAGAACGAGAATTCAAGACAAACAATTGTTCACCCATCCTATCTCCGCCTTTTGCAAAGGTTGCTTAACTTCCGCATCGTGACCAAGCGCGCTTACCACTGCTATCAAGTTTTTCAGCTGGGTATGAAAGTTGCTAAAATCGTAATTTTAATCATTGTGATTACAATGGATTGGACCGCCTGATTCAATTTAATAAATTTACCTTTTGCATGATTTCTATCAAATTATATTCGGCCTCTGTTTTTATTTTCGGCAAATATACCATGACTTTCTCATAAGAGGTGCTATCGTATGCACCATAGAACACATCCGGATCTTGCAGTTTCTCTACTAACGCTGACAGACCATCCACTGAGTTCGGTAAAAATACAACGAATGAGAAATTTCCTCCCTTATAGGGCATTTCTAGTATCTGGAAAGATAAGAATTGATTTTAAAAAATACGTATATATTTTCATGTATATAAAAGAAAATTTTAAATAATTTACAATGTGGAAATTATTTAACCATTATAATATATTGTATTAAAAACACTAAATATATACCACTTTTACATTAGTACGGTAATGTCCACTGATTAATAATTTATACAATTTTATTATTGGGAATTATATTTCGTTTACAATGGTATCTTATAATACTATCCTAATATTTATCTTAAAGTATTTGAAAATTTTTCTTATACATATTCATTTTTTATCAGGAAGGATGAGTATTTATTAATTTATTGATACTTTTTGCACAAATAAACTATGATATACTTAATGCCGGAGGTATATTCTACCAGTCAACCTTAGTGAGATGTGGACAAAAATAGTCGGTGGGGTGCACAATAGAGGTGGAAATTTTGTAGGAAGAGATCATACTTACATATCATATACATACATAAAACATAAATTAATCCTAATAATCATGATTAAGTTCTTTTTCTTACCTTACAGTTAAGGGTACCACTTTCTGCATATCTGAAATTGTCCTCTTGGTACATGGTTGGAATATTTATGGTTTTAGTACTGGATATATGGAATGGACGGTTCGTCGTTTCATTCGGATTGAATTGTGTCACCCAATTGCCCTATGAATAAAAAACATTTTTTATTGGTGATGTCTATGAAAGGAGTTCTTGTTGTTCAATTCATAGTGCTATTTTCTCAATATAACTAGTAGCCGAACAGAAACCATTTCGTGCGTTGACCTATGTGCCTACTGATAATATCGTAAACATTTAAAGTTCACTTTACTTTTACTATAACAAAATCGGCCAGATGCATCTGTGCGAGCGCCTCCCTCCCCGCCCCTCTTCTCCCAGTATATCTTTCATTAGAAATACCTTGTATTGTTTCACAGATAAATGTGTTTTGAAACACAAATCACATGAAACTCCTATTTGCAGGATAGGAGTTTCATGTGATTTGCTTAACATAGCAGAAATGCTGTTTTAAGCTATTCAGCAATTAAGCTTTAAACTATTACTGAATATAAAACTAATTCAATAAGTTTATGAAATTTTACCAAAAAGAAGATAGCGTTGGCGAGGACAAGTCGTGTATCATCGTCAAACATTTCAGGTGAAGCGATGTCCTTAATACGGTTGTTTGTATTATTTTCGACCTGCAAACAAATTGTAGAAAATATATTAATAACACTTCAAGGCCCATTTCCATATGCGGTGGGCGATAAAATTCTGTAACGCCAGGTCATTGTATGCGCATTTAGTGAAATATTTACACTAGTCAATACGGAGATTTTTATAGTGCACAATGACCATGATTATAATAATGTGTTTATGTAATCCATTATATGTACTATTATTTAATATTTTGCAATTTGTAAGTATTTATTTGTATATTGTATTGTATATCATATTGTAGGTAATAAAGATTCTTTTAGACGCCATAGCCTACCCAATTATAATTTATTTCTTTTCCTTTTTGTAACGGTTGCCTGGAAGAGATCGCGTCTAAGCGATAAGGCCGCCGATTGTACTTATTGTTAACTTGTAACTGTAAATTTTCTGACTGTATGGTGTTTGTACAATAAAGAATACTTCATTCATTAATTCATTAATTTTTGCTACATTCACATACGTACAGGAACATTCGCAAGTGGTAGTACGACTATGCTGTCAATTTTTAATAAGTCATTTTCCCGTTTGGGAAATACAGGTACGCTGTATATCAAACAATGAAAATGAACCTTAATCATAGTAATTTTATTAAACAACTTAAATGAGGTTTGGCGGACGAAATGACAACTATATAAAAAAAAAGATGAGATTTGACGTAAAAACGGGATCTATCGGGAGAAAGCCCTTGATTTTAAGCATACTATGTTGGAATTATAGTACTCAAAGCTTCCTAACGAGTGACTACTGACTCATTCTTTGAGTGAATAATTGCTGTTGGTCACACATGATCTATACAGTATAACCAGAATTTTCTGCAGATTTTGGATAATAATAGTCAATTACTTGATCTTTGTACTATATTTATTTTCAATTTGGTGGAGAAGTTACATCATACTTTGAATGTAAGATTTATAAAAGTCGGTATCAGATAGAAAAGGCGAACAGTAAGAATGGTGCGAGTTAATTGTTGGTCGATTTTTAAATTTTTAAAACGCTTTCCTGAATTTTATGAAAATAGACATTCGAAACACTTTAGACCCTTTTGAATAAAAAGATTCTTCGAGCACTTAAAAAAACTCTGTGATATTTTCGCAAACAGAATTTGAATTAAAAACTTACCCATGCATTTATTATATCAGCGGAACCTTGTTTATCACTAAAGTCTAAGTTTTGTGCATCAGCATCGAATACATTCCTCATATCATTATGGAAGTTTTGTTTAATCGGATAGAGATCGCTAAAATAAAATCTAGCTGGCAGCTTCAGTATCACTTCTTGGTTATCTCGCAAAGTTCTTGTCAAAGTTGGGAATACACATCTGATCTGTAAACAATATCTGACGTGAAACGTGTATCATAATGCACAAATAATAAATAAAAAAGTTTTAATAATCTTGCACAGAACAAAGAAAGGATATCCAGAATCAATCAAAGAAAAGAAACAAAAAGAATCAGGTTATGTTGTAAAATTTACTTACATCATTTTTGGTACGCAGGTTGAGGATGTTCATAAGTTGTGTATAAGTATCATCTTCAGCATAAAGCGCCAGTTCAGCGATAGGCACAAATACAGAAAGTGGAGACATTATCAAACTCTTTCGAGGAGTTTTCTTGTAGGCTACCTAAATATATACAAGATAAAGTATTTATTTTTATTTCTACTACGTTTGTTTCACGAGTTTCTCGGTTGTACTATCTCGGTATCTCGGTAGGCGTCGTGCCGTGGCCGTGGCCCGCAATTATTGTTGTTAAGCAACTTTCGCAAGGGTCATTCACGGGATAGGTGAACAAAAAATTATTATCTCGAGCTACTCCGTGATTATGAAGTCAAGTTAAGCCATTGGTCACGCATGCATTTGCAGTCGTTAATACCTTCTAGTCCACATTGGGCCGGGGTGGAGGGGTCATGGCCGATCCTCCTTAACCATCCATAAGGAAGACCCGAGCTCCTGCAGTGGGGACGTAAAAGGGCTAATGATGATGATGACATTTGTAATAACTTTGAAAACCTAATACCTAAGTATATTGTTTATTCAGGTTATAATATAAACTAATCTTATACCGATATTTATTGAGAGAACCCGAGAACTCATAAATTCTTACACTTTAAAATTAAGTCATATTAACAAAATGATAATTATATCACACGTATAAAGTTTAAGATGCTCTTAATACAAAGATTGATAGTGTTGATTAAATTCAATCAAGAACATACATCCACTTACGTTACAATATGAAACAGAGAAGTGTTTTGTATCATATAAATTGGGAAAGGATGTTAGGCCGTAATGTAATTATTAAATTATATTATCTTACATTAAGGAATTTCCCAGTAAACAGAGCATTTCCACGTTGTAGTAATTGTAATGTGTCATCGGAACACGTTATTGGCTGAGACGAATTCGCTAAAAATATAAATAATATTACTTACTTCAAAATATTACCAAGAGGACGTTATAAAATACAAAGAGTACATTCAAATTTATTTATTAATAGACACTTAGTGATAATTGTTGCACTATTAGTATTTCTGTTGGCTAGTCTTGGTTAGTATGGTGTCTTATAAGTACATTTTTTAAATAAATAAATGCCTAATAAAGGTAGTAATTGTTTTATATGCATAATGGCATTATATAAATTCAATTTAGCAAGCTCGTATTTTTTTTACCTAATTGCAGCATATTTATTGGTTTTTTCTCTGGCTAATAAGATGTATCTTTGTCTAATTATCGGGACTTAGCGCTTAAGACACCATCTTTTAAGATTTCTATTACATTCATATTTTTATTATTTCATCTCACCCATAGGGAAGATCTGTGTCCTAGTAGTGCGGACAACAATAGGCTGGCAATGAATTATTTAATTGATTTGTATGAAAAAAATAGAATTTAAAAGGTAAAAGTTCCATATGCCATCACACACGCACCGGCCACATCACACGCAACGGTTTATATTAAAAATTTATATGATATCATCGGAATATTTCCATCGTCAAAACTCACAATCACATTTTTCGTGGACCAGCACCTTTAATGTTATTAATATCAATGACATTACTTACAGGGACACTTCTCTTTCTTAACGCATTTCTGTGTATTGCTGTCGTAATAATAATCTTCCTTACAATCACATGAATTTATTCTACATACATGCGGGCAAATGCGACTCGGGTTGTTTAAATCAGAACATTTCTTTCCACAATTACCACCACACCCAGATTGTGCATTTGGGTCACCACCGCAAGATGCTAAAAAATTATGATAATATATCAACAAATTACAATCAGTATTAATGTTTACTTCATTTCTAACTGGATTAAAGTTACTCACGGCATTCACTTGTAGCTACACACTTTCCGTCTTTATTTCTGACTTTTCCATCCTTACATACACATCCACGCTTGCATTGAACGCTCGACCCACAATTGGGCTTTGGATAACCCAATTCGTCACATGTCAGAGGGTAACAAGATCCATTCGGACAATCAGATAATTCTTCGTCGGCTGGGCAAACAGCTGAAATATTGTAAATCTTATAAAATAACTTATGTAAGGTACACATCCATATACTAGCAAGTATGCACCGGCCGCGCAACACGCAACGGATTACATTAAAAACTCCCATGACGTCATCAGCATAATTTCGACTTCAAAACTGACAATCGCATTTTTCATAGAAGATTCTATGAAAAATACTACTGCAGTGGATGTATGACATCGACAAATCCGTGAAATGAATGTCGGGGCTTGCGTGCTGTCAGTGGATGAGCACTCTTAATATCCCGGACATTACTAATTGTGACTACATCAGATAAATGACTAATATCCGGTTTCTGATTTGAGTATTTAAAGTTAAGCAAATCTTGAACTGTACTCATATGCCACCTAAACATGTTTTCATTTCTGTTTTCAGATTTTTAATAATCAGCAGTTTAATAAAAACTAAGACTTTTTGCCTTGTGAAAAGAAAAAAAAAAAGCTTAAGTTATTAAGAATAATAACTTCAGATTTTGTACTTTTCTTAATTTAGAAACCGGCCGTAACAAAATCAATGACATCACTTACAGGGACAATCCTCTGCCTTGACACACTTCTTTTTATTACTGTCATAAAAATAGTTGTCCTTACAATCGCATCCATTTAAATAACAAATAAGAATGCAAATAGGGTTGGGGTTAATAACATCAGAACACTTCTTTCCACAATTGACACCGCAGCCAGGTTGTGCATTCTCGTCACCGCCGCAACCAGCTAAAAATAACACATTAAATAAGTTAGATTAGTGATATCTTATATTTTATCTTTACAGATATCATAAAGTTACTTACGACATTGGCTTGGAGGTACACACTTCCCATCTTTATTTCTTACTTTACCATCCTTACAGACACATGCAGGCTTACATTTTACGCTACTCGTATTAATGGGTTTTGGGTAACCTACTTCGTTACATGTCTGAGGATTATTAGATCTATTCGGACATTCAGATAATTCTTCGTCGGCTGGGCAAATAGCTGAAAATATTGTAAAACATAGTATATTTTTTTATCATTTAGCAAGTTGTAATTATATATACATCACTATGAAAATTACTATTGCGACACCAGGTATCTATATTAATAAATAGTATAATCTATGTTAGAAAAATAAGCCTGACGACTTCTGGTTTTGCTTACTATCTATTAATGAATTGATAATAAACTGAATCAAAGTGATATACAGGGATAGTGTTTTGGCTTTGAATTCCCTCTTATCTAAAACACATTAATAATGATATAATATACTAGCTGTTATCCCGCGACCCGCGTTCTATATGAATACGCAAATGATAGCTTATGTCAACCGTGTATGATGTAGCTAACTGTAGGTGAAATGATTTTTAAAATCAAGTCTTGAAGTTTCGGAGTATATTCGATGCAAAATAACAATCAAATCCTTCCTCTTTATAATGTTTGTATAGATAATTCCATGGAATGGCTTAGGTATGTAATTGGAGTATGTTTACTTTGTAATATATTAGCGCTATGACTAGGTAATCCAGATACGGACCAACACGCAGGTCCAGTGCGTATTGGTGGGTAACGACTGCAGATGTAGATGCGATCAATAGCTTAAGGTGGCTTTCGAAGTACGTAGTAGTTCGAGATACAAAATTTTTGGTAAAAACCGTTTTGCAGACGGAGCACGCTAATCAATGCAGTTCTTCGAGGTTATATATATATATATATATATTTATCGCTATGCGGAACATAGCAATAATATTTTACAAATAAGAAGCGTTATCTCAACCGTTCCAAGTCTCCTACTACACAGACACAAAAAATATGATATAGGTAATATAACATTTGTTAATATTAATGGCAGTACTTACAGGTACACTCCTTCGCTTTGACACATTTCTTTTTAATGCTGTCATAATAATAACCGTCCTTACAATCGCATCCATTTAAATTACAAACAAGGATGCAAACAGGGTTCGGATTAAGCACATCAGAACATTGCTTTCCACAATTGACACCACAGCCAGGTTGTGCATTCTCATCACCACCGCATCCAGCTAAAAATAACATAGATTATAAAGTTAATTTTAATTATATTTGATCATTTTTGCATTCACAATAGGCTGGAAAATGTAGTTGAAGAAAAAATCTTAAAAAAAAACCACTTTGTCAGGCAATCCACCAAAACAGTCATGGGTTCGAGTTCTATCTTAGAAGGCCAGGAACAAAGTGAGTTTTTAAGCAATTTTCATTAGGAATAAGATACATTTAATATTTAACAGTTCAACAACATATTTTAATCAATTCCTTGAGCCTACTAGAGTAACGGTACATTCAGCACCTTGTTTCATTATGTATATTCTAATCTTGATCCAATGAATAAACTTATATTCAAAAAACTTACATCGAACCTTTGCGCCTGAAGACCACATATTTAATATTTTCTTTTTAATAATTTAAAAATAATAAAGTATTTAATAATTTATTGTCTACATCATACTTAGATGATACATATTATTTGTCACGATTAATCATAACAATGTTGTTCTTTTACATGTTGTTGTTTTATGTAAACTAATACATGACCTGATAGAAGATTATTATCAATAATGATCCTAAAATTATAGACCAATAACTAAAGTGCGCTTATAGAGCTATAATTGTAAATATAATATTGATGAAAAATGCATTCAGATGATATGGCCAAATGATTGTCCTGATGTTCTTTATAGTAATTTGTATTGTCTTATAATAAACGTGTAATACCGTAAAAGTTACGCAGAAGTTATAGTTTTGTGACTGGTATTTATAAAAGAGGAAACAAAATTTATGAATTTTAAGATTTAAGGAAATACAACCACAATCAATATTACCTGAAGAACTATTCGAAAGTATTGGAAAAGGCGTGTTCAAATAAAGTTTTATTATTAAAGAAAAAATAAAGAAATCCAATAACAAAATCAAAACAACTTGGAATGTAATAAACTGTAAAATCGGTAAGGAGTTAAGATAGGTGAAGATATATGACTTAATTATAATAATACGACTATCAAATCTTATGAAAAAATTAATGATATATTTGACGAATATTTTATAAACATATTAATTGTAAAAACATCTGGTTTAAATTTTCACCAACTGCCGCAGTCTCTTTTAGGAAAATACGTGTCTGAAGGAGACAGGCAGTTTAAATTTATGTATTGTATATCAATTTCTTAGATATTATCAAAACTTCCAAATCCAAAAAAGTATATAAGTATAAAAAAATTCTTAAAACTTCCACCAGCCCTAGGTGGTAAGAGGAGTCGCCCGGATTGCGAAAGGTAGTAGGTTTGTGTCCCATCTCAGAGTACAGGGGTCCCATGGATTTTTTCAGAATTTTTCCTTAAGTATATGAAACTATTCCTTTATAGTTTGCAAACTAATTACACGGCGGATAATCGCAGATTCGATACCTATCGAAAGCGTAATGAGAAACATAATTAATGCCTCTCTACAGCAATAATATTCTGTTCGTCTCTCGTTCGAAATACTGACAGTTTGCCGCTTGTAGTGACCCTGCACTCGATCCGGGGTTACATAAATTAGAACAAGTTCTTAATATGTATGCAAATAATTCAACAAATACTAAGATTATTATAATATCGACCAGGTAAGGTAAGAGTTGTAACGCGTAAATCCCATAACAACAGCAGCCAGCGTTGCTTGCACATATAATAATAATAATACTACATACTTCATACGAGGGTCAAACTGAAAGTTCTTAGAAAATCAAAAACTGATTACATTAGCCAGTTATTAGTTTTATTATATCTTTTCAAAATATTGTCCATTCACGTCAATACACCGCTGCATGCGATGGAACCACTGGGAAAAGCACTTTGCCCACTCGTCCTTAGGGGTCTCTTCAATGGCATCGCGATACGCAGCCACCGCTTCTTCAGCATTCATAAACCGCTTTCCTTTAAGTTTTTCTTTAATTTTTGGAAATAAATAAAAATCACAAGGCGCGAGGTCGGGGCTATACGGCGGGTGACCCAGTAATTCAACGTTTGATGTCGCCAAATAGTCGATCGTTCGCTTGGCGGTGTGCGACGAGGCGTTGTCGTGGTGAAGGAGGATCCTACTGCGAGGTCGTTTCTCTCGAACTTTTTCCAAGACAAGTGGCAAACAATTGGTAGTGTACTATTCTGCAGAAACTGTTTTTTGATCCTCTAACACAATTGTTGCAAAATGACCTATCCTTCCAAAGAACGAGGCCACCATTTTTTTTCCCGCACTTCGATCTCTCTTCACTTTAGTTGGCAACTCCTCGAAAGGAAACACCCACTGAGCAGATTGTCTTTTGGTTTTAGGATCATAACAGTAAATCCAGCTTTCGTCACCTGTTAGTATGTCGAACACAGCATTTGAGTCACCTCCGTTAAATCTTTCAATCATTTTACGACACCAATCCACACGATGGAGTTTTTGAGCCTCAGTCAAATTATGAGGTATCCACCGGGCGCAAAGCTTCCTGACCGCTAAATGTTCGTGGAGGATTTTGTGCACTTGACTCATACCGATGCCTAAGCTTGTCCGAATCTGTTGATAGGTCACTCTTTTGTCAGTCTCTATCATACGCCGCACAACACAGATGTTATCTTCAGTCGTCGCCGTAGAAGGCCGTCCCTCACATAAATCATCAGTGAGATTAGTGCGACCACGTTTAAACTCATTAAACCAGTTGTAAACAGTCGCACGAGATGGGGCTTCATCGTGAAAGGCCAATCGTAGTCTATCATAACTTTCTTGTTGACTTAAATGACATCGAAAGTCATAAAAAATCATTGCACGAAAATTTTCTCGTGTTAAATTCATGATGACGTGACACAGACAATTTTCAATTTGCCGCCAAATCGTAAAACAAATGACAAATGAATGAAATATATACTCAGTAATATTGGCAAAGAGTTATATTTTCAAATTTTAGAATTATTTTTTTATTATATTGTTTATAAGTGGCCAGTTCTAAGAACTTTCAGTTTGACCCTCGTACTTCTCGACCGACTATTATGTCGGTCGAGAAGTATGAACTGCCAAATAACATACCACATAAGATCGGTCGCATACTGACACATACTTTCGTATGACGCTTGATATACCTTTCGTCAGAATCGCAACAATAATATTGGTGTTTCTTTTCTTGAGGTCCGTATATGTTCAGTGAAACGTATACCGACTGTGCTGTGACACTATCTAGACTAAGTTAACTAACGCAGGTATTACCGAGGTAAAATCAAGGCTCAGGGTTTAAACCTTCGAAATATGAATTTCCGATCATAAAAACAGTTACTAGTATATATTTTCTGATACGAAGAATTTTGAACTTTTGGAATCTGTAATTATGTACAAAAAAAAAATTGGTAGTTTTTTTAATAACAACTCTATATACATATCTTAAAAATACATTAGGATTGCTGAAGCTTGATGAATATAGCCGAAGCGCATAATGTAAATAGTTATGTGAAGATAGTTTTTGAGGAAATAGGTAAAAATAAAATATTAAACATTAAAATCCGGATGAAGCTATTACCGAGGGTAGAAAAATAATAGGCATGTTGGTTCCGTACAAAACCTTTAGTAAAACACTGATTATTGGCTATTCTAAGTTTCAATCGACAATTTTGAACTCTTATAATTTTTTTTTATCAAAATCACTACATTACGGACTTATCACCCACTACAATTATTACAATGGCACTTATGTATCACTTTTGATAGTCTTGATAATCTTAATAAATAAATAAATATCTATTTAATATAAATATTTTTTTTTCGTATGATGAACTTGTTATTTTGAACGAAATTGTTATGTAATTGTTACGTTAAAATTAAATCCTGAGTTAGAAAAATATGTAGGTATAGGAAAAAGTAAGGTTTTGAATTTCACATGAGGTTATTTTATTTGTTTCTAGAGAACTCTAAACTTAAAAATAAGTGCTCTTATCAATCGGTATTAGAATTCTATAGTAAAGTTAATACCGAGTAATAACACTCTGTGATAGCTTCGTGAACAAGGTATTACCGATTGATAGCTTGTTTTCATTGTTTTCACCATCGGTAGATAGCTTCATCTGCGATAGTGTAAATAATGTAATTCCAAGGGGTAAAATTTGATTAACATTTAACAATACCAAATATTTAAACGATGACTAATAAAGTAACCTAAACATAAACAAGATTTTTGAATTAAGTGATTAGATTTAAAATACAGACTTGGTTATGGTTTCACGTCGTATTATTTTGTGCACTCATACAAAGTTAATTTTTCGTGGTTTAATTTAGGACAGCAAAATAAGAGTTCTAACGCAAACTAATAGTATTTTGTTTTTCTGATTTGTTGTGCATAGTGTACCACGGGTCCATTCAAACGAACATAAAAGTATAACTTTTTTGAGTAAAATATGCCTGTAATTGCCTAAAACTAGAATTATATAACATACCTCGATGATACCTGCAGATTTTCGACTACTGCGGTAATACCCGCGTTTACCTTATTAAAGAAGATCCGCAATTTTGTAATTCTCACAACGTAGATCTTTAAAAAGGCGTGTAACTTTTGTGGTCTTGTTGATTGTTGTTAGATAAGATATTTGGATTGTACTTAATTTATTTTCTCTACTTCTGATAACACGTCAATGGTGACTCTTTGTTGCGTTAGGTTTTGGATATTTATAGAGATGATCTTTTCTGGAGATATACGTATCTGATGAGACACGTGACTACAAACATCATATTACTACCACCATCTTCCGCGAGATGATCAAGGAAGGTTTAGTGTTCATGTATTTCGTTAAAGAAAAGTGAGTGTACACATAGAGTAAAAGATTAATTTTGATTTTTGTACGTCTAGAAAAAAAATATATTCAACCGAAGTCATTACTTTTATAATATATATATATTTATTTGACTCACAGCAGTCTTCCCAAGGTACGCAATCACCTTTGTCATTTCTGTAGTAGTCACATTCACAGCGGCATGCCCCTGGACCAATGGGTACTGGCCCGGAGTCCCAGTCTACCAGTGAATCGTCGACACCACACTTTCTTTCAGGACAACTTGGATTTGATTCGTAATATTCATTCGGCTTTGAACATAGATCAGCTGGAAATATTTAGTTTATTCAATCAACTGTTGCCCAGTCAAATTATTTTCAAAATTATATAACCTTGGCTTACTGTTGAAATAATTGGCGAAACAATGGAATATATTTTACCGTAACAATCTTCCCTCGGGATACAAGTACCGTTACGTGCTCGTAGATAACCTTGTTTGCATACATAAGCACCCACAGGCTCGATTGGGTCAATGCAAAGATCGGGCTGATTGATCTGCCTACAGTGATGCTTTTGACAGCCAAACTCTCCAATTGGAGACCATACTTCATTGGGTTTAGGTTTGGCTGGAAGTAAGTATATTTCATTTTATTTCTCTAAATCTATCTATTTTGTCACGCCTTAAACAGAGACCATCTCTTCTATTCTGCACAATCCTGACATACCTCTTTCACCTCCTCCACATGCATCAACCTTTTCATACAAATACGGCGGTTTAGGGTTGACCTTTTTTAATAAGTCCGTGATTTGGTCGTGGTATATTCGGCTAGGTCTTCCCCTTCTTAGTACTCCCTGTCACACTTGCCTTATATATCTGCTTTGTTAATCGCCCCTTACTGATCCTTTCAATGTGGTCGAACCATTTAAATATCCCTTTTTCAGTCTTTGTTACTCTTTCATGTCTTCTTTCATGCCACATCGCTCTCTTATCACACTGTTTGGAACTATATAACTCAACTTGAATCCATTCATATTTCTCAGTGTTCTTATTTCTCATTCTGCTTTCATGCCGTTTCTGCCATAACCAACTTTCACTTCCATACATCAATGTTGGAACCAAAACTCAGCGATATACAGCCAGCCGAGCCTTCTAGACAACTTCTAGCTGGCTATGAAGGAGTGCAAGGCTCCATTCACCATATTTCCGGTATTTATTCGTCTTCCTATATCATTGTCATACTTCCTGTCTCTCGTAAACATCGATACCAGAGAGAGAAATTCATCACGTGCTCCAATCTCTTATTTTCATAATATCACTCCTTTCAAAATCTATTATTTTCGTTTTATCTACATTCACTTTAATTCCTTTCTCTTTAAGTGCAACATACATAGTATTTACCATCTTCTGCAATTCTTCCGCCGCAGACGCAAGTCATCAGCATAGAGAGGGCATTTGACGAATAAGTCATTCATTCTCAGCCAACGGACTATCTCTTTCAGTCTTGTTACACAAACATCGATGATTAAATTGAACAGCCACTGTGACACAAAACATCTCTGTCTAACACCTACATTGATATTATACTAATCAGAGTGCGCACCACTGACACAAGCTCTGGAACTCTCATATAAAGATTTCAGTGCTCGAATCAAGCTTCTGATTACACCACGCAAAGATAATGCTAACCCCAATTCATTCCTCTCTTCTCTGTCATATGCCTTTTCCAGATCCACAAAAGGGCTTCTGCTTGCACATCGTATACCGTCTCATCCGGCCTTTTCATGATTCTTTCAATCAATATTTTTGCATTTAATTTGCCGATGATAATTTGACGATACTGAGTAGGCTGATACCCGATAGTTCTTGCAGTCTTGTTGTGACCCTTTTCCCTTGTACAATGAAACGATAACGGCTCTACAGCAGTCATCTGGGAATTTTACCGTTTCTTCAACACATATTAAAAAGGTGGTACAAGTTTTTCGCAATTGCTAAACGTCCAAAACTTTCGTTTATCTTTACTATATAGATCAGTCCCTCACAGATAATAATGATATCAATAATTTGCTTTAAGTACTCTTAATAAATTTTTTATAGTATATTATGGTTTTCCGATTTGGTTAGTAAATTGAAAGTTACACTTTTCAATTCTGATATGAATAAATCTTATCGAAAATACCGGATACACTTACAACATTTATTTGGTCGAACACATTTCTTTTTGTTGTCATCGTAAACATAGCCCTGTTTGCACACACAACCATTGTAGTTGCAAGGGCACGGAATCGGCGCAGTTATTGCCTTGTCACAATGTTTTCCGCAGCGATATCCACAGCCTGGAATCGCATTTTTGTCGCCTCCACAAGACGCTGTTATATCAAATAGAAAAGAATATTATCTATCAGCTTTTATATTACTTTTATCGTATGAATATAGTACAATTAAACAAAAGCATGTCAGATTACCAGAAAAAGTTTCGTAATGGAATTTCTAATTGAGCTATTAGAGCCTGAAACTATTAAATAACCACATTTATTGAGTATTGTAAATCTATGGATGAAATTCAGATTATTTTTAATGAAAAATGTTTAAAAAATCCCTGGCACTCTGAGATGGGATTTTGAAAACAATTTAAATTTAAATTATTTGTCTTATCAATCTAGGTATATCATTGTTTTAGCTTATGTTATTCCTACTTAATATAAAATAAAGTGACCTCACTGAGCCTGTCAGAACCTGAGAAACTAAAAAACTATCGAAAGAGTTTTCACACGATTTTCGCATATGGATAATTCTTTTCGTAATCACGGTTACACGGGTTTTCGCTTAAAGTTCAGCATGAAATTGAAAAGTAACAGTATCTATTATGATATATTAACTTACGGCATTGTTTCTTCGGCACACATACTCCTTTATTGTTTCTTACGTAACCATCAATACATATACATTCAGCAGGCTTTGAACATGGCCCTCCTGGTCCCACTATCGGACATGGAACGTTGTAACCAACTTCGTCACATGTTTGAGGTATGCATAAAGTTTCTGGACATTTCACTGATCTTTCGTTTTTTCCGCAATCTATAATACATGTAGAAGTTCGGCGTTACCTTGTGTTTCAAGTGTATTAATGGTTTACATGATTCTCATTTCATTTAATTTTCTGGCTAGATTCTGGATGATTTGGTCTAATATACTCGTATTTCAAAGTATTGGGAAGCAGCCTAAGCAGCAAATGTCTGCTAAATTAAGATCTCCGATTGTTAAAAAAGGAAGGCCAATAAATCTTTCAAATTTTTTTACAGACTAGAATAAAGAAATTACTTATACTATTTTAAATTAAACTGTTGGTGTAAGCTTGTCTTGAAACTGAATTTAGAACAATTGGAATTTACAAATACTTTTTTTGCGACAATGTACGATATACTTGACACTATATAAGTTATGCTAATTTGCATTTCAATTAAAATAAGGGTATTTCCCGCATTTTTAGCCTTTTTGGTCTGCCAAACAACGGAGTTTTGTATGATCATTCTCTAAGTACACATCTTTAAAAATCAACCCATTAAATACCTACAGAATACATTCCTTGGGGTGAAATTCTGTAAGACGAAACTACTTCACTGATATACACATCTCGTTCCATTGTAGCTCCTATGGCGTGGCGTGCCCTATGACTATTGTGATAAGTCAAAGCATAACTCTCTAATTCTCTAGTGCTCGATGGTGCAATGGGAAGCGCGTTTTGTCTATGATATGAAGGTTAGTCTGCAGTTTCTCCGTGCTCCCGAAGATACGTTAAGCCATTGGACCTGATTACATCTATAATTATTCACACCCACCGACTCGCAATGGGTCCGCGTATTGGATTATGGTCCATTCGCCCTAATCGATCAAACTTCATGTAGATTCCATAGATAGGGAAGTCCTGTAAACTTCCCTATAAACCTCCTATAAAAACCTCCTGTATAAACTTCCTGTAAAACTTCTGAAATGGACTCTAAGAGTAGGAACATTGATTGGCTGATGACGGAAAATAACCTTTTAAAATATTTGTAGATAGGATTCGAACCTACCATAAACGGGGCGATTGCTCTAATTTATTTAAGCTAAATCAATCGTACGTACTTTCGTTGCTAAAAAATGTATTTGGGTGGACACCCATACACTTTATTTTTTATTAAAGATAAAAACATATTCTTATTTTTGATAAATTTTGAATTTTCAATGCCATATTGGTATTTTACTTAATTCATTATATGAGACCTTTTCTTTATATTTTTTAATTAATTAAAACTAGCTATAACCCGAGACTTCGCCCACGTGCGCCGAGGGTTTTGTGTCTGGCCTGCTATACTGGAGTCTTAATTAAAAATCTGCCAATGAATATCATCATCATTAGCTTGTCAACGTACAAAATGTTGAAAATGTAATGAAATAAAAATATCTTTATTCAAGTACGCCTATTACAAGCACTTTTCAATGGTCCAAAAATTTTTCTCCCCTACCACTTGTCTAGGACGTCTTTTAGCTGACAAGAAGAACAAGCGAAAGAAACTTACAAGCTCTTTATCATAAGTAATGACATTTACATAAATCATATCATTACCAAAATAATATGTATTATCACAATAATAAATACAACTTTCAAAGTCTGTATAGAACAAAGCGAAGGCTATTAATTCCATGCATTGCGATCATCAACTTTATAATTTCTTTACATGATTTTTTTTTATGGGTAGGTCAATTACATTGGAGCATAGGCCTGCACAATAGATGGAACCAATGGAGATCTATAGGTGTTTCTGTGGAAAACGCGCATGTGTTTATAAAATAGTCCAGCTGCTATCCATTTTAGTGAGCAGTAGAATTGACACGATTTGCAAAAAATAAAAACAAATGTTTTATTTAAATAAAAAATTCTTTGTTTAAGTAAATAATACTGTCATTTTTCTTGGATCTACTTTTATTTTAAGGGCGAAATATTTTAACGAAATTGGATTAGTAATTTTCTTTTTTATAACTCAACAAAATATGCTTTTTATCAGATATCACCTTAATATTTTAGAAGAGCGATAAAACATTAATAGAGTACTTTGCATTCATTCAACTTCCAAAAGGAGGAATTTCTATGTTCAATGGATATCTATATTTTTTATGCAAACAATTTCTTCGTGGTCACGTCGTGCAAATAATTAAAAATTTCAGGACTTTCGTTATGTAAATATAATTTCTTTTATATAGATCTTTAATATTTATTAACACCTATACAATATATTTATATAAAGTATCTAAATACGTACGTATAAGTATAGCTAAAATAATTAAATAAAAACATTTTTCAAAACATAGAACCAACTTTAAACTTTGAAAGGGTGAAAAATAATAGTTATCTTAAAAGCGGTAAAATTTTTCAAGAAATATTGAAGTCAGGCGTCACGTAATAAACTCCTCAGCCCGATTTCAAGATTTTTTGAAAAATTTTTAAAGTTTAAAATCGGTTCTATTTTTGAGAAATGCCTTTAAATTTTTATTTAAAAGCATTTTCAAAAATAGAACCGACAGAACAGTTTTCTGTTTCCTACCATTAGCAGCCCATTTCAAGTATTTTTTTATTTTTAGTCATTCAAAATAATTGGAGGTTTATTCAATTTTTCGCACACATAATTAACGCTGTAGGCGACGCATCACACAGTATAATAAACTGTTGGTTAAAAGAATATTTACCTACTTTATTACCTAGACAAAAATGGATTAGGGAGTCTAGGTCACTTGAGATAGGAGATTACGTCATTCTTGTCGAGCCCAATTTAGAACGTAACTATTGGAAACATGGGATTGTGACTGCGGCTCACGCTGGTAGTGATGGACGAGTTCGCGTCGTAGATGTCCGCACTCGCACAGGGGCTCTATTTTTGAATCATTCGTCTCGCGTCGAGCGCTCGTTTTCTACTATCACTCGCATACAACGTTCGCTAAGCGACGAGTGGTTCATACCATTCGTTGCAGTCGAGCGATTTAGAAATGGCGAATTTGTTAAGTCGAACGAAAATCAGTAGAAAACGAGCGCTCGACGCGAGACGAATGATTCAAAAATAGAGCCCCTGGTGTGTTACGTCGTCCCGTAACACGCGTCGCTCTACTGACACCGCAGGACGGTAGCGCTTACTAGTTAGCACCAAGGAGGCAGATTGTAGGCGACGCATCACACAGTATAATAAACTTATAGTTATGATAATTAAATATGTATTTGTAACCTTAATTTTACTTATTTTAAGCAAACTTTAACCGATATTTCTGGAATATATTATATTAGGAAGGTATATCAATAAAAATGAACCGCGATCGAAGAGCATCTCATTGGTATTTTAAATAACGATTCTCACGACCTCTACGGGCAGTCTTTTACAAGCAACCATCGCGAACGAACGTTTAGTTGATCGAGCTCCTCTTCGACCGCGCCATCTTGATTAACGGCACTTGTGGTTCTCATTTCTATCCTTTACAAACGCCTTTTGGTTAAATATCTCGTAAATTGTCGCCCATATGTAATTTTTTCGTCCAATAAATAATTATCTATTAATATATTATTTTTAAATCCAGGCAAGCGCAAGTCGAACTCGCGCACGAACGGTTCAGTACAATCCACAAAAAAGCAAAAAAAAAATCACGCTTGTTATTTACAAAAAAACGCGAAAAAAGCTTGCTTGCTATTTACAAATGGTATGTTCACAATTTTTAAGTTATTAATTAACATTTGGAAAATTATTACTCAACTTGTGAAGCAAACTTAAGTGTAATAGTTATATTTTTAACTTCTTTATTATAAATACTTCTCCCATGACATTTGAATTTACTACAACAACCGTTTAGTTGGTAGAGGTACGGGGGAAATTTTACTCTAACGAAAATTGGTACCTAATAAGTCACGAACTGTTAACTAAATTGAAAAATGGACATCCCACACCCCTAGTATTTTTGAAAGACCTATTCAACGATATGATATACGCCAAGGGAAGTTTCATCCTCCACTTTAGATGTAGAAGATGTAGGAAGGAATTTTTCGTAAAATACAATTTTACCACTTTTTCGGCATGATTAAGACCACCGTAGCCGAGTGGTTCGCACTGCGGTTTCAAGGTGTCGCCATGTCTGAAGTCCCGGGTTCGATTCCCGGTTTTTCTATATTGTCTCGGGTCTGGGTGTTGTGAAAACTTCGTTGTCTCAGATACTCCATAATACGGGGGCTTTAGCTACTCATCTTGGAATCTGAGCAGTGTATGTGATGTTGTTTAGTAAATATTTAAAAATAAAAATATTAACGTTTTTAATGAAAAATTCGTAAAAAAACCACTTTGCTCCTGGTACTTTGAGATAGGATAAAGTGGGGGTACCAATCTGTTTTGAGATAACGTGCGGACAAACGCACAGACATATGGACATTATGTCTATAAGGGTACCTTGTTAACTACGGAACCCTAAAAACCTTAAAATTTAAAATGACAGCTATCTTGTTTGATTAAAATCGGAAAAATATTAAAGGCAAAAGACATCATAGAAGCAAAATCCCTTTTTAAAAATACAGTAGTCATCTAGCGAAAATAGCTAAATGTAACATTTTATTTGTTTATAAAATCGCCATTAAATTATGTTAATGAAAATCGCTGAATTGAAAACGAAAGTTGATAAAAATCGTAAAAAATAAAGCAACAAACATAAAAGAATTAAAAATTCCGTTTTAAAAGTACAGCTGCGTCACTTAAATGGAACATCTTAATTTTTCGCTCTATTAATAATCCTCCATTAAATCATGTTATCGGGAAAACCTCAAAATTAAAAACGAAAGCTACTTTGTTTGATAAAAATCGGAAAAAAATAAAGGCTCACAAAATCAAAATCCCGTTTTAAAAGTACAGTAGCGTCATCTCTTGATCAGTAGCGTCAGCTAAATGTAACATTTTCGAGTACTGAACCTATGTAACATATGCGTTTAATATTAGCGGAAACGATTCTACCCATTTTGATTATTCAAAAAATTAATTAATCCTGACTAAAAAGCTTAAATAATTTCAAAATGGTTTTGGAAAAGATGACATGGAAAATCATTACAATGACAAATTGAATTGTAAACAATGGTTACGTTTTAATGCTCTATGTGAATATCCACACTAATTTCAATCCCTTTATGTTATGTCCTCATTTTTGGGATAACTTAAAGATATACTGTCACTGACCTTTTTTAGATCTTTGAAAGGGGATCAATATCGTAATATGATTTTTGCATAAATTTCACCGTTTACGCAGCTCACACAAGGAAAGCTCTAAAAAAGTAATTTTTTCTCCCGTTTTAGCATAATTTTTCATTGCTGTTCCATTCCTATTAGTCATAGCGTGATGTTATATAGCTTATAGCCATCGTCCATGAATGGACTATTAATACAAAAAAAAAAATTCAATTCGAACCAATATAACCTAAGATTATAGAAAACAAACAAACTCTTCGCCTTTATTATTAGTATAGATTTCTTTTTGTACTTACTTGGTGAGCACGACGAACTTTTGACAGGACTGTCATCTTCACCTAAAATAGTAATGTGAGTTCCATTAATAAATGTTTGTTTGCATTTTTGGCAAAAGATATCGTTACCGATATAAAGCCGAACGAAATACTTTCATTGGTATATATAATCCTTACATATTTATTTTAGCAGAAATTTCTAGAAATCAAGGTTAAATCCTTTGATTGAAAAAACATATTTTAACGCATATATTGTTGATAAACAATTTGATACTTTAATTTTTTTTTGCAAAATTATTTGTAAACATATATTTTCAATTGTACCGGTGACAAAGAGAATTGTTATTAGTAGATGCATTGACACACATCTATAATAAAAATTACATCCGATTTCATAGAAGGAATTATCAATTACATCGAATGTTTATCAATAGATGTTATGCTTCGTGACATATTTGTCAATAATACAATAATTTTGATGAAAGTAAATATTTTTTAATCAACAAAATATGCTTTTCATTTTTATCGATAAAGATCCGATTCACACCTCGTTTGTTACATAAAATACAAAACTTAATTGCTTTAGTTGCAAATTAAAAACTCGAACTTTTAATGTTAAAAAAAAAATACCGGGTCTTTTCGATATTTGTTTTTGTATTTTAATCAATTTTTAATTCGCTTAAGTATTGATGTTACATTTTGCCAAAAAAAAGTCAAAGGTAAAACTATCCACCCTAAATATAGATCGTCAAATTAAAATGCGCACCTGCATGACACTGCGTGAAGAAATAATTAGTCGATATGATAAAAATAATAAGTAGCTTCGACATTTTCGACAGTGCCACAGCAAAATGTCACCTTTACAAGTACATTTCTTTCTTATATAGCAAATGTTCGCGACTTGCACAATTGTTTCAACAAATGTAATAATAAAGATTTTCTTTTTATAAACTGAATATATTATATTCGTATATTGTCTGCAACAAGAAAAAATATAATTTAATTACTTAAAGGTAATTTCTGTGAGTTATATTCTTATCCGAAGAATAAACACACCCATTATTATTATTTTAATTTTAATTCTAACTATTGTATGAGAAATATATCTAAATGAATCACTGAATGATCGCAATAGGCTAGTTGACAGCTTTTTTTTTATTTCATAAATAAATAGTCCATTAACATCTGAGAAATAATGTCGAAGTAACAGCATGTCTGCGATAAATAGTTTCGGAGATACGGTGCTGTGTTTGTAGAACTGCCGCTAGTTGGTCGAAAACGCTCCCTACAAATTCAAAGCACTCAGTGACGTCACATGGTGCTACAGTAGCGAAAAATGTATGGGCGTCTGGACATTTTTTGTAATATCTTTGTTATTTGTGCGTTTATGTTTATAGCTGTTACATTTTTTATATATAATTTAAAGCCTTATGTATTTTAGCAGATTTTTGTAGTAGATTTTCTGTACTTTTTCAAGTTTCCAAAGCGTAATATTTTCCAAATCATTGACTTAAAATTTGTTTTGTTAAACATTTATAAGTTGAAATGGTTCATATTATAACAAAAACTTAATAACAAAAACCTGTATTTTCACTTGTTGGACACAAGCCTATTACGATTTTTGAGGTTTAATGACGATTTTAAACTAGAATTAATATATTAAATATAAAATATGTCGCTATAAACTAATGTAAATTTTTATGTACATTTTTGCAACTTGGTGTATGTATATTAAACATAATGTAAACAACAATTATTATTATATATGTTACGCTCAAAGACCGAAATTTGAGTTCATCAGTGAGTTCACAACGCGTTGTGGTCACAGTAAAATAACGCTTTAGTGAAATTAATTATAGGTTGTCATTAAAATACTCACGACGAGTTGTATCAGTCACATAAAGTCCACATAGTGATCAGTCATATAAGGTCGGATAGCGCGTCAGTTATCCGTATTATAACTGACACGCTACACGATCTCAACACGTAGTGGCAATGAAGAAAAGCAATGACGCGTTGTGAGCTTTAATTGGCTTAACCATATCAGGACGAACAGGATATTAAATTATGATAATTTAAAATCCTGTTCGTTATGATAAAATAACTAAAAAGTCCTTTATTCTCTTTAAGTATATTGGGTATAAGTACTTTACCAGTGCTTAATATAAATTTTATAATAGCGAAGTCGATTCTGGTTTGCTCACAGTCAACCATATGCGTTTCTCGTCTCGTCTCTCGTCATCACATCAAATTTTTTATGTAACCTACACTGTGCCTAAACTAATCTAACGTCATAATACTACGAGCATTAGTTATATTTATTAATTTAATTCGCTCAATGAATGGTTTTGGTCTTTATGCGTAACAGTATATATCGGGGGCTTATAAATTACTTATTAATATTTAAGGAGATGATTTAAATGGACATACAGAAAACTTCTTCTATATCATTTACTCATAAAAAAATAATTTAATTATAATTTTGTCTTAAAATAATCTGCCTCTACATTTTAAAGACACGATTTCAATAGTCATCTGTCTTAAATATACTAATCTTGATAATAGCATGATATTGAAATTCAAGTGCGTATTTGATTTATTAACGTTAAATGGCCAGTTAAGTGACAGTTAATAGAGATCAATTTATTTGAGCCTTATTCATAGAATGTTTTATGTAGTGAATTTATTTCTGTTTTTTTTTTTGAACATCATCAAACTATAGGATTGTATCTTTACATATACTCTGAGTGCTGACTTTTTATATATAAAAGTGTATAAAAATGTTTGTTCCGAATTTGTTAGCACCTTGCATAGTTTTTTTAAGTAACCTTTTCAAGGCTCTTATTGAATTATTGACCTCGACCATACAAACATTGATAGTTACAAAGGTAACCACATAGAAACAACACAAATTGTTTAAACAAATGGCTTATTATAAAATGAAAAATAAATTGACTCGTTTTTATTAAACATGTGTAAATAAAAATGCAAAACTTATAGGAAGATGATAGTGAAATTTGGAGTCAAATAAAAAGAAAATAAGGTGGGTTAATATATTTTACTTTGTTGTTAATACCGTTATTTTAAGTTGGGGAAAGAGTCTTTTCGCATATTGTATGCATAAACTTGAAATAAAATCTTTCTGGCTGTACCATTGGTATCTGGCTGGTTTCAGTATCATTAAAAAGTTTTAATTTTAAAGAAGATAACTCCGAATTCTAATTAGGAAAATGTGTGATTTTCATTTGTTTTTCTTAATGTCAAAATAAGTTAATCTAATGAAGATCCCATCTCAGAGTACCGGAGACAAAGTAGAGTTTTTAAGCATTTTTCATTAAGATTATCTAATGAAGAAGGTCGATACATTTGTAATGGTGCGCCGTACCACCGTTTATTTTTCCTAGGTTTCAGCATGCAAACTTTTTGTCTTTGATATTCAACACAATTTCTTTTTAGTATTCAAATTTCGTAATTTGAAATTTTGACTAATCAAATATGCTCTTTATGAATGTCAGTTCGTAAAAAAATCTTCCGTTGTGAACATGTTATTGTAAATCGTATAAATTTAAAATATTATAATAATGAAGTTATAATGATTAAAATATAAAATTATATCTTGAAATATCGTCTAAGTTTACGTATCAAGGCAAACACAAAAAGGGGTATGTATTTGTTCTATTTGGTTATTGTAATTTTATATTTATTTCAATATACGAACTGTTTTTATATTAATTTTTTGTTTGTTACAGTTTTTTCTTTACCCTTTACTTATTTACCATAAAATAAATCAATTCTCAAGCTTAGTCAGCCTTTCATTAATTCGCCCAAGCATCGAACCCGTCACTCATTTAAAGATTTGTTGGCACCAATGTAATACTTAATTTAGGTTGGCAACATTGGGTGTCATGTCTCTTACTTTAAAAAATATAAAAGACCACGTTTTTTGTGTGCTTAGTTAAATAAATTACTGCGTTAAATAATTAAATACTTTTTGTTTTACTTATATTCCTACAAGATTAATTAATAGAAGGGATGTGGTTTTTCATCATGATAACGCTAGATTTACATATCTTTTGCCACTCAGTAAAAGTTAAGAGAGAATGGCTGGGAGGTGTTAATGTATTTGCCACATAGTATCTCTCTAGAATCCTTTAGGCAGTGTCAGGTTAACATCACGAGAGGACTAGCGAAATCACTTGTTTTTTTTATCAGAAGCCGGAAGAAGAAAATTTATATACCAATGAGATCATGTCCAGATCTACGAGATGGCAAAAAGTTAACTAACAGAATGGTACCTACATACTTTAATTAAATATAAATAAGTTTTATTAAAAAACGTTCCGAAATTTCAAAATGTTCAATTCTAGTTAGTTCGTTAGGCAGATAACGGAAAAATATTAGAACCGTTTTTTTTTCTTCAATATCAAACAAGAAATGGCTTAGATAATAGGCATTAAAATTGAGGAGCTCGCCACACCTGTGTAGAAAATGTAGAAAAGCGTGGTATCACACAAAATTTTAATTCCAGTAATTTATTGACTATGCACAAAATATCTGTCTGTCAGTAATCTACATAACGGACAAACAAAAAAAAAATCGTCATCATCACATTAAAGCCTTTTCATAAGGTTTTTGCTGGCAAGATACTTTATTAACATTTGTTTAAGTAGGTAGTTAAATTATAATTAATAACACCTACGCTGTTCAATTAATTTGTTTGAACAACTGTTTTTGCCTTATGGTTATAATAAAGAAACCTGTTATGTTGCAATGGAAAAATATTATTGAAATCATTATTTTCTTTGAATATCATTATGAAGTAGTTACATTACTTATTGAAGATTTTTTATGTAATCAAATGATTTGCCATTATTGTATTTAGCTAACAACAAAAATTTTGTTGTAAATTTGAACATTATGCTGTCAAAGATTTTGCATAAAGAACTATGGTCAAAATGGACAACGAAAATAAGTTCTTATGACCAAGATGGAACTATCACCAAAATGTAGCATAAGTTGAATGTAATTATTATATACCAACAATTTATTTATAAAAGCTGTAAAAAGAAAGATAATCCTCTCTAAAATATATCTTTACTTTTTAGAACGCAGTTTAAATTATGTTATTTTTGAACGCATATGTAATTAACAATAATGTCATTTCTAGTGAAGAAAATGAATGATTATTCATAAAAATCGATATTACAGTAATCAATCGATTGCGACCTCCCTATTTTTTAAAAAATATGTGTAGATGTTTCTGCGCAGATCATTTTGTAGCCTTGACGGTGATTTTGTGTTCTGTGCAATTTTGTATTATCTTCTGTATCATGGGGAGCATACTAGGTTCCATGGGCAGTATAGAATTGAGGTCTTTAGGGAAATACCGGATTCTCTGGATTTATTAGAATTAGACTTAAATATGAGGTATTCATTAGAGAATTGTAATAAAAAAAATCAACATGTTGTTTTGCTATACCCTTTTGAAATTAGTATTTTCACTACTACTCTATATACGTTATAGTGTCAGATAGAAAAGAAGAGTTATTTAGAGCAATCTTAAAAATTCTATTATATTTTTTTTTGTAGGTTCATTGGTTCACAAAAAATGATTTTATTTCTTACAATGAATAAAAATAACCTATCAGATATGGAACAAATTTGAAGTATTTTGTAAAAGTATGCACTTCTAGGACTACAATTGGGCATTATCTGACGTGTGCTCTACATAGTTCAACGGTAATACCTCTAACGTGCTACAGTTTAAATAATATAAGACATAACCTCAATAACATATGACACAATTACTCGATACTCCCAGCTTTTAAAAATGTATTT